GGTAAACATCACGTGTGGGAATATGGTTGGAGAGGGAAGATAAGCGGAATGGGTACGGACAAAGAAACTAACAACCTACTGGGACTGACTCTTCGTCATGACAAGCAGTGTATCCAGCAAGACATGATCATGGTCTTTGGGACCCCAGCGTGGTATTCGGGACACCAACCGGCGCACGTTTCGAAGTGGGAGATTTCACTCCTCTTGACCAAGTCATCGCTTGGCCTCCCCTCCTCTTCTTCCATCCACATCCCCGGCGCGCAAACGACGCACGTCGCGGGAGCCAGTGTGCCGATTGTGCAACAGGTGGCCCAGCCATCAGAGCCTGGTGCGTGATATAACGGTGTGGAGCGGTTCCCTCGTTCCTGCCCCAAATACACGATACCGGACACGCTCAGTGCTCACGCGCTCTTCCCATCAGAAACAAGATAAGTTGCGAGGGCAGCAATGGTCGAACCTAGCTAGCCCCTTTATGTCTGTCAATTTGATGGGTGAGGTTTCGCAACCGTACAGGAGGGTTGAACTCACGTCTGTATTGTGAACTCGGCCCATAAGGGCGAAAGTGATGTCGCGCCAGCGCCACAGGTAGCGAGGATGAGCAAAATCGCCTAGAGCTTTTGTTATGTGTTTGATGATCTCATCTTTGATCCCGCGGACGTTAATACAGCTGCTGAGATAATTTAACTGCTGGATGACTTCGAGCTGATGACCAAAAAGGGTCAGTGCAGGAAGCGGTCGTTGCCAATCCTAGAGGAGTACTTTGCATTTCGTGGGTCCAAAGCATAGCTCGAAACGATTGCCAGGCAGAGCTAATTTACTGGATTTCTTTCAAGTGTGCGTGGATGAAGCAATTGTGCCTACCATGTGAAGACGTGGCATACGGACACCAATTTTCAAAAGTGGCAGTCGCTCGCAACTACCAAACTTTTGCCCAGTGTTCCTCTACCCTGTACTCTCAAAGATGATAGAGGCGATCATCGCTGAGACTCTAGTCAACCATTTAGAACGCTACAACATCATACCACCGGAACAGCACGGTTTCTGTCACCGCGGCTCATGCACAATCAAGCAGCTGATTACATGCAGTAGTTAGACGGAAGCGGCCGAAGAAGGGACGGGAGCTGATCTATTTACCTCGATTTCCCCGAAGTCTTCAAACGAAGGATCACTGCATTCTGCTTCACAGGCCCGAGTTGGGAGCAGGAATCATCTGCAGAATCGACAACTGCTGATCAGAGTTCGAAATGCGCTGTCTAGACCGATCCAAGTTGAATGTGAAGTTCCTCAAGGATAAGTACTGGGGCTGCGTCGGTTGCTGGTGTTCACTAACTAGTCTACGTGTCTGATTGCCTCGGACTTCTTGATTTTCGCTGATGATGTTAAGATATGGACGATCATCGACCAATGAGATTACGATGCACTTCAATGAGACCTGGAAAAGGTATCAGCAATACGCCAGTAAGCAGTGCCGACGCTTTGTTGACGCGCAATCACCACCAGTCGCACGTGCGCTAACGATACTGTGAGCATCACCCGGTCTCTACACAGGCTCGAACCCGCGCCTTCGGATTACTATGCAGGCTTGTGAGTCTTAAGGGTACGAGCCGGCGCGAGATTTGGGAAGCGCGTTTGAGTGATAATTCCACAACCTACTCCAGTTTAATCCGTCCTAGTGTAAGGTAGTCCACATTGGGCATCCGCCTGATAACACATACAAGCTTGGAGACATTGACCAGCAAGCAGTCACCCAAGAGCGCGACCATGGGGTACTAATCCAGTCTGATCTGGGCTGCTCAGAACAATCTGAAAAGGCGTCAAATAATGGGAACAAACACGTCGGTACGTGGTGAATTGCATTCAGGTCGTTTGATCTCTCTCTATCTATCCGCAGATACTGAACATGTGCGGCCTCAAGTGGAATGCGTAACCCAAGTCTGGCAGCGTTGGCACAAGCAAGACGTTGTAGCGTTCAAGACACCACTGTGCAGAGGCAATAAACACGTCAAAGGGTTGGCTCACCTTCCTTATCAACACAGGCTGAGGACTCTAAGATTGTACAGCGGTCGCCTACGGGGCCGACTGCTGTACAATCTTAGATAATAATGGCCGGGAGGTAAACCCGATAATAATAATAATAATAATGGCCGATTAAATTTCGTGGAACCCCAACCACGTATGCCGCCACCTAATGCAACTGCCACAACACGAATTTGAGGGTCCACCAGTTCAAATTAGACATGCATTACAGCCGGATAGAATGTTGGCAAAACTTTACTCTCTTCATGTGTGTCACCCGTGGAACGCCCTCCCAAATTACGTTGTTTTCGCCCCAATGTTATGTGTTAAAAAACGCATTGACGTTGCCCTAACCCACCTACATTACATATATACCCTATGTAAATCGACAGACGATATGTGACGAAGGCTGCCCAACCACCAGTAACCGACCCAATCGAGGGAGGCTCTTGTATGCACGTTTCTCTGGTGAGTCTACTAAGACGCTTTCCATTTCAGCACTGTCATCCATTCAGCATTATGGGATTCTCATTCTGGTCATCAAACGGGACTTGTTAAATATTTGCATTTTTCCGAATTATACACCATTATTTCATTGTTATACGTGACTGCTCGTGAAACGAATTGGTCATTTAGCCGTACGCTATGGGCTCAAATTGTCTTCTCATCGAAATGGTGAGTCTTCTTGGGAGATTTCGCCACTTCCCAAATACATATGCATAACATCTATATATTCATATACGGTGGTGACAGGCCATAAAACAATAACAGAGTTATCAAAGCAATGGATAAGTAAACAGATAAGTTTTAATCACAATTTGCGCGAAACCTGTCTGAACAGGCTCGCACAAAGTTCCAAAACAGAGAAACGGAGTCTTTTTTGACATTCCAATTAGTATTGTTTGCCAAGTTAATGAATGCGAGAGTGAAGAGTAAAACCAATACATGAAATAGCTGAACTATTCCAGATCTGACTCTGTGTTGAATCAGCTTCTGACGAGGTTGAGAAAGATAGCTTCCAGTCATTTCTCATCTCTACTCAAATACTGGTGGAGTCGGTAATGAAAGTTTCCCTTTACCGAAGCACAGCTGCATTGTTATAGCTGCGTAGATGCCTGATAACATTGTCACTGGCACAGTTGGAGCACGCCTACGATAACGGCTTGGAACGCTGGCCAATCGAACGGATTTGCGCTGAGCTGATGGCGTTAGCTTAGCCCGGGGTACGCGCTGGTGAGGCGGAAATTGAGCGAGCGTGAGAACGATCCTAGCCGCACGTATTCGGGTAGACGCGGAGCCCTCGGAACGGACGCACACGATAGGGGGTTACGGTAGACGCGCGCTAGTGACTTAAGCGCGAACGGTGCCCAGCAATCGACGTACATAAAATCACGTGACCCGACCGATTTCCAACTACCGCGAAGAGGAAGAAAGGCAAGTGATCTTCTGAAGGCTCTTTTACGACCAACAAAGTGCGAATCACAGCCAATGCTACGGGTTATTAAGTTAAGGAAAATTGCTACCATGACGGGGTGGTAGTTCGTAAAAGAAAATTGTCAACAGGTGCGCAGTTGGGCCGCGTCTCGGAGTGGCTGAACACTGCTCCCTTGTGGGGAGGAACTGGACCCACACCCATTACGCCCGAGTTTGTGGCGCGCTTTTGCAGGGATATTTGACGGGTCCGCAACATGCATTCGGTTGGGATGTAGGCAGAGATCCCAAACGAGTTGCGTCCCAGTGCACCTGTGGCATGAACCTTGACATAGGACTGCGCATAGTTGGCTGTCCATCGGGAATCAACCCTGCACCGCGGCATCAGCTTGCCACACAATGTGATGCCAACAACAGTCAAACCAGCTGGAGCTGCCCGTGTCATCAGACAGTAGTAAGAAATCTCCGATACTGCGATCAGCAGAGGACATCAACCTATGCACAGTGAAGGGATTCTGTGATCGGATCACGGATATGCAGCAAGCATCAATATCAAAGAACTCCAGAGAAAGCACTGAGCCCATTTGCTGACGAAGCGGCATGACGGTCCATACACTGAGGGTTGGAAACAGGAGTGCAGATCAGGATCAGAGGGTTAGTGATTGGACAAATCGGCTATTAGTGAAACTGGCATCGGAAATAGATTTAAAGAAGCGGGAATTACCAAATAAAGAAATTTTGGCGTAACGGAGGCGAACGAGCAGAGAAGTACACGGGAGCGGAAGTGTAACGTAGTAGATAATGTAGAATCCATGTTTCGGATACCCAGGCCTAAGTAAGGAGCTGACTTAGAGGACACCACTACGAGGCTTTGCCTTAACAAGTTCCGGGCGACGCAACGGAATGAAATCATTTGCTTATGTCAAATTCACTGAGCAAAAGCAACTAATACGTTACAAACGTGTAGACCAATGAACAAACTTGGAGTACTCTTCAAAAGGATGAGGAATAAGTGTGTGATAGGCGCTGTGAGGATGCCAAGCGTCAGCAGTAAAGATACTCGGGAGGCTGTACTCACAGAAGTCGCATAGCAAGTAGAACAAAAAGACCAAAACTTCGCGCGAAAACCAAATGCGGTGACCAGTGAGTTGTATCACGAGTGAGTGGCAGGCATTGAAATGTTAGGACAATGACAATGGCAAAATGTACCAGCCGTATGCTGTCATAGATGCCGCATTTCGCGGTGCCTTGCGAACAAATAACGCTATCAACCACTTCATTCGCTGTTTCAGGAAAAACGGTAATAACGTCCAATAGTTAGATAACATGAACGGCAAATATGGATAAATGGGTTTCTCGAGATGAAACGGTGAAGGCAAACGGTAAATTCAGCAGAAATTCCTAAAAGCTTGTGGAGAGAATTAAAATATGTGCAAATGAAGGAGATGAACGAATCAAAACTAGGCCAACGATAGGTTGAGCGGAAGCAAATGATAAAGGATAGATAAGTCAAAGGTTAAAGGGAAAATAGGTTAACAGAACATGGCGGTTACCTGTTGGAGGAGTGCGCATGTTCTCCAACGGAAGCGTCAATCGCTCCAACTTGGTTAACAATACCACTTCCTTCGGCAGCGCCACAAGCGGGTTTTTAGACAGCAATAAAGTGACCAACTGCTTGAGGTTGCCAATATCGGGAGGTAGTGAGCTCAATCGGTTATCTAACAATGACAGAAAGAAAACATAAGACGGTACCGCAAAGCAATCGCCGGCGAAGTCTAAGGAACAAACGAATCATTATATGAAACAACGCGCCAAGAAATAAGTGGACGAATGAACAGTGACAGACACCACAAGACCGGTGAATTGCTTATGCCATTTGCAATCCTTAATCTCGCACAAATGCAATATGCAAACAGGGAAAAGAAATCGGAGCGGCCACAACAGTACTCAACCTAAACCTCCTTGTCGAGTGTTGCGCAGGAGCTCACAGAAGCACCGTGAGACATGGTGGTGTGAAGGTGCTTGAGAGATGGAACTTGCTAATCTCTCTGGTAATACCGGAAAATTGTTCCACCTTATCCGAGACACCGAAGGTTTTTGATCTGGAGTAAGCGAAACAATCTGCGAAGAGGATGGCTCCCTAATCACAACTCTTCAACGACGGTTGGAGTGATGGGCTGAACAATTTCGCTCGCAGTTTTCCTGGCCGCCAACTCCATCTGTTTCCCCTGGGGCACGCACTGGTGATGAGTGGATTATCCCCACTGACCACCCACTCACCAGGAAATCTGGCGGGAACTCTGCTGCCTAAAGCGCTATAAGGCACCCAACCCTGATGGTTTACCACCTGCTCTATTTAAAGATGGGGGCTATCCGCTTGTTCGAGAACTCACCGCTTTGTTCTCAGACGTCTGGGCAAAAGTGGTTCTATCATCATGGAGTGAGGCGATAGTCGTTCTCATCTTCAAAAAGGGCATGCGCACAAAGTGCTCCAATTACAGGGGCGTAAGTTTGGTTCCCATCGTTTGCAAGATTTTGGTGTCCATCATTCTTCGCAGGCTATCCCCAACGCGTGAATCACTACAGTGAGAACAGTCTGGGTTCCGCCTGGTCGTGGCTGCATCGATCAGATTTTCACACTCCGCCAGATCCTCAAGCTCCGTCATGTGTATCAAAAGCCAACAATTGTTGTGTTTCTGGATATCAATGCTGCCTTCGATTCTGTCGACAGGGCTGCATTGTAGCACTGTCTGTTGAGGAACGGCATTCCCGGGAAGTACGTTTCCGTATTGCGTGCTCTGTATAATCTGACATCGGGTAGTGTTAGGGCTTATGCCAAGCTTTCGCCTTCGTTTGTTGTCACCAGTAGGGTCCGGCAAGGATGCACTATCTCTCCATTCCAGTAGCAGTGGCCTCAGCATGGAGCAGTGACCCAGATGCAATATCCGATAGGTCATTGTAAGGTCCACTCGAAAACTACAGGGTGTAAAACTCTGGTCGTCTAAATCGGTATTCGTACGACAGTCTGTAAACTGGGGATGGGTCTGGTAGCTACATGTTGAACCAGTTCCAGTCTGCACCTCGCCACAGGTGATCGGACAGTAGACTGGTGATGCGTACTTGCGCATCGGTTTTATGATGAAACAGAAGGAGAGAGTGACAATCTCTCAAACCAAATGCAGAAGTTGCGTTTGACCACCCAAAGCATGCGCAGTCCACTTGGATGTAGACTGTTCGTGTTAGCTAGGAACTTCAAATCACAGCATGAGAGTAGGCCAAGATCCCTAATGAAAGGTGTGGGATGTAGCGGTTGGCCGGCCGGAGCGCACGTACGCACATCATCAATCTTCCCCAGGCTCATATCTATCGAGTTGACTGGGTTGACCGGCAGATGCACATTTGCAGACCACATGGACAGGCACTCGAGGTTGTGCTGAAATACATAGCAGTCGTCGGGAGCATCAGTTATTCTCCAAATCATCAGGTCTGCAAACAAGGCACAAGGCGACCGAAGAAGCTGAGGTACTTAGTTGATGAGGATCCGGAAGAAAATGGACCCCCAGCACTATGCCTAGGGGTAACACAATGGTGGAGGGATTCCAGTCAGTTAGATGGCCATTCACTTTACCCTCCATTTACGCCCAATAAGTCAGTGATCCAGTGGTGTAGTGAGCCACCAAGACCGCACATCCTCAGCTTGTTAAGGAAGACCTCATGGTTCAGTCTGTCGAACCCTTTACTGAAATCCATGCCGATCGGCTAGAAGAATAGAGTTTCGTGAACGTAAACAAAAGAAGCCTGCAAATCGTGGTCAATCAATCATACGCCCCGAAGGCCATAACAAGCTGCAGCCAAGGTCATACCCAGCAGTTTCCCAACGGTTCGAGTGCAACATATCGGATAGGCATCGATCAATAGACTAGGGTTGATATGAAATCAGTGCCCATGATCGATCGAGATGCAACTAGGGCAGTCTGTACAGTGGAACTTAACTCACGTATCGTTCATGTTTCGGTCGCGAATAAACCAATCTTTCCGCGTACTCATTCTGCTTGTTCTCCCTTACTTTGGAATGGCCTACTCCCGTAGTGTTCCGAAACAAGAGCACATCTACCGACTTTCCCCGATTCAACATCTGCAACCATTCATGCCGCGTCAGAGGTTGGTGATACAGGAGAGGCCCTTCGAAAAACTGTGTTGTGCAGGCGGCAGGAGAATTTTCGCATGTAACAGCTGCAATCGACGCTTTTTCACGATCCCGAGAACTTGGGCCAAAACGGAGGTCAAACAAATCGGCCGATAATTATCTACCTTATTTAGGTTAGCGCCTTCCGGAACCGGCTGTAGTACGAAGCAATTGCAGTCGCTCGGACAGCGATCTGTTGAACAGATCAGTCACGGAAAGCGAGATGATAGCGGATGAGTTGAGAATCAGCGAGTGGAGCCCATCAGGACCAGCAGACCTGGTGCTGAGAAGAATAGCAAGAAGATTGAAGGCATCTTCCACATCGCAATCCATACTTTCGAGTTCGGTAGGTGCTGCACAGATCTAGCTTTGTATAGACGCATGCCTACTTGCAAATACAGAAGCGAGATGCGTCGCCAACGCGAACGCACGTCCAGCGCTAGAACTCTGAAGCTGTTCGCCGGAGCCTTCTAACAATACTACGTTACCTGAGGTCTCAGGCCCCGCTTCATGTAAGTAAAATGAACTTGCAGCGGCTGCAAGCTCCTCTTCGAACTGTCGACGCTTCTGCACTTTCGCGCTGTTGCATAGATTCCGTTGACTCTTGTACAGTTCGTAGTCATCAGCAGAACCTGACAGGAAAAATTTATTCCACAATACGAGTCGCCGTCGTGTCAACTGGCCATACTCTCTGTCGAACCAATGTGGCTTCATTGACCCAGCTTTCCCATACGTGAGAAGTACAAATCAAACGCACAGAGATTTCATACCATCATTTATGACAGACTGACAAGCTTCAACAGATATATCCTGTGGCAACGACCAGTCCACTTGACTAGCGGCTCGAGTGAGACCATCTAAGTCACACTTCCAATAGTTGTATGATGGCTGCAGCGGACGCGAGTTTGGTAACGAAATCTCAGGGCTAGTCAGGATAATTGAGTGATCACTCGCTGCTACAGGCTCCAGGAGCGAAACGTCACGTCCACGCTGCTCGCAACTTGTCAACATCGGGTCCAGTCACGACGAAATTGAGTATGGTGTAATGCGCGTCGGGTGGCAGACATGTTGAGCCGCCCCCGTCTCGAATATCATCTCAGCAAACTTTGTCTCAACTTCCCAATGACCGGAGGAAGTTGAACCTCAGGTCAGCACATTCGTGGGAAGTTAAACTCACCTACGAGCAGCAAGCAGAGAGGACACATGTAGGTTTCGGACATGCGGCGCTCAAATCAAACAGGGGGTTCGCAGATTGCGATAGGCTAAACCCACGCCTCAGGTGTATTGGGCACAGCAATTGCTTGCACAGGCCATCTACACTTCGGTAGGTGTTTACCAGTCTCCCGCACAACAAGAACTGAATGCATAGTAGACCACCATTACGGGCGTTTGGTAATCCGTCGCACCGGAAACACGAGTAACCATTGATCAGAACTTCCTGGGAGGTTACCTAAGGATACAGCTAAGTCCCAGTTACTCCTAGTACGTCCGGCCAACGGGAGGCAACGAAGTCGCACAGATCGCAACATTTGTTCATCAAATTGTAAACAGTAATAAAGGTTACCCGTAGATTATGGTAGGGACCGCAGGCAACGCATGAAGCGTCATCGACCAGTTGATACACGTTCGGCGAACATGGGGAATTATCTGAAAGTTTACAATGTATAAATTAGTTCCCCCACTATTAGCACGTCGCTTTCGCTCACTAACAGCAGAGTTTCTCCCGAACTGACGGATTCATATCTAGGATAATATGGATCTTCAGACCTCTTAGCATACCGAAGCGAGATAGTATCAGCCTCGGACTGGTTTCATCAATGAAAGTGATGCGCAGAGGCTGAGTCCTTCCCTTATCTCTTCTTCCAAGAAGGGTGATTTGCTTCACCATCAGCTCCTACCCACCAATGTCGAGAAGTCTGTCGATCAGACTCAGTAGAACCTCGACGTCGTGATTATAGTGAGTCTGAGCATTTACATCAGTTGACTCAGACGCGTGAAATATTCTGAGGCCTTAACGCCGCTGGTCGTTGGCAGCTGCGCTCTCTTTCTTCCATTGTCTCATTTACCCATGGCCTACAGCACAGACGCCATGGCACATCAGGACGTACCTGCCCATATGAGGCTGGCTTGCCGAACAACCTCCTCGTGGTGCCAGCTGGGTGGTTCGGGATTTTCCCGTTCCAGCAAATGGTTCGGCGGCAGTGTTCCAGGACGTGGTGGGTTTTCGCCTGGCAAGCGTTCTCCCTATAAAAAGCCACATATGTCCGTTTAACAACACTGTGACGTGGCGGACGTGACTCGCCACTAAATAAAGTCACTGCCCCTTGCTTCATCCTGGCGAAGCATTGTATTCCAGCAACGTCATGCTGTACTTCTGGGGAGCATTGGGCCCCTGTTTGACAAAGGAACAAACGAAAGGCGTATGAACTGAGCAATCAGTCACCGGCTCCCAATGGGCGCGATTCCCTGAATTCGCTCCGCTGCCTTGCGGACAGGCTATTCAGCCAAAGGCTCGGGGTGGTGTCCCCTAAGTCAACATCCTACTTCGGCTTGGGCAACCGGGTAGTATCTCGCCCTCTGAGGAAACCATGGACATTGTTGTGTTGTGTTTTATTTTAATATTTCTGTACTTTCGTTTGAATCCCATGGTTTCTGATGGCATTATGTCTATTCGTAGACTTTTGCAAATATAAATATATATATGAGGTAAAACACAAAGCAGCTGAGCACCCAGTAACGGATGGACATCGATCAGGAGAGCTAGCAGCCGGCTTGCCAGCTGGCTTTCCGATTACTGGGATGAACCTACGGAGCTCATCGCTAGGGAACGTATCGCCCTTTTTACTCGCTCCCTAGGTTTCTCGGTTGCTGTTGAATGCGCTTTACTCTGGCACCTCTTACACAACATTTGGTAAAGTCATGCTGAATTTCACGCAGAAGTTTAAATTGGTCGATAGATGAACCACTGTACGAGATATAGGAATTTACGGGTCATCAGGTGGGCCCTAACTCGGCAATTAGTGTTATCTATCGTAACACAAACGTCAGAATCCTCAAGTTTGCCGAGATAGTGGCCATAAAAAGCATTCTCCAACATTGGGCGTCCAGAATCAACTGTTCGTTTCGCTTAACCTCCCTTGAAGATAATAATTCCCCCTCAACCTGTAGCCAAGATTTACTACGGTTACATGTGACCTCCCGCTTTCAACTTATTGATTTCCTATTTTGTCACGTTATCATTTGATATGTTGTCCGTTTGCAAGTGAACGGAGAGCACGAAATGGTACCATCTTGCAACATTTGTCTTCCTATTGTGCTATTCAAGTTAATCCAGGGAACTCAATGCTTCAAATCAAGCATATGACAGCACGAGCTCCATGTCCAACAATTTTGCAACCAGGTGTCACAGGGAGTCTGCTCGTCATTACGAACGGCTGAGAAGATATGACGGTAAAAAGGTAAGTCGACGGAACGACCAGAACACAATATTAAAATAGCAATAAGATATGCACGATACAGATTCAGATGCGCAAGAGACTGGCGCTTGCCAAGAAGTGAGGCCGAAAAATTGCGGTACAGAAAGTAATAAACAGAGCGAACTGGCCTGACAGCAGAGCGAAAAATGTCGACAACTACTGTTTTCACGCTCAGGAAGCATAATTTCTAAGGTTCATACCAATGATGTGTACAATGGAAATGTTAGGAAGGGCGCTGCAACAATGACGATTCCCATCTGTGCAGCTCCCGATAAATGATTGTGGGTCACTAATGATAAGGAGCGTATTAGTGGAGATATGGGGGACAAAGTGCAAGTCTGCTGTGGCCCCTAATGAGTGTAGAAGTCCATTGCCTGTTAGTAGCTGCCAACAAAAACAGCTGGAAGCAGATGTAACCAACATGTGTGCTCCTGAAGCAAGCATCTGTGAATGAATAAAACTGATGAAAGCGAGACGACCCACGCACCAGGCTAATCGATATGGTATGTTAGCTCATCGAGAAGTACACAAAACGAGATGGGAAGGAGATGAAAGGAGCCAATTCGATGAGATGAAGGAGAATAGATCAAAAATAACAACGCGTGCTGGGGAAGAGGTGGTGAGTGACGACGTCCTTGCGCACACAAACCAAGATGGCCCGTAAAGATTCATTAAAGTATATCCAGAATAAATCAAACGTCTACGTAAATCGGCTACCGACGTGTGATGAACACATGAGAATAGCCCAAGTAAAGGGCAATATGCTATGTGATCGGTTTTGTTGCGGTGAAGCAATGTGGGCAATAAAAAGACGAATGACTGAGACTATGCTGACATACCCTCAAGATTCAAATAAGTGAGACAACGCAATCGGGTGATGGACAAAGGAAATGCGTCAATCTGATTGCTGCAGAGATTCAACTCCTAAAAACAATGTCTATTACACAAAAAGAGAAGGGACCTACCCGCAGTGCAGTCAGCTGGTCCAAAGCATCAGGTAGGGTTGATAGGTTATTGGAACTTAAATTAAGGACCTGGATACCGCGTAGATCGGATAGTTTCCCGCCGGATTCCAGATTTCGTATGGAATTGCAGTGAAGATACAGGTGAGTTTTCAACAGAACTCTAACTAGGGAGAATGTTCCATCAGGGATCTTTTTGAGAGCACAATCCGAAAGATCGAACAGCTCATCAGGACGTTCACGAGCCTTGGAAAGCAAAATTGATTTTATTTAAAGGACGTAACAGTGCAACAGTAAGATGTGCAAAGATAGTTTAATATTTTAAGCGTATGGCCTACTTCAGCTTAAAATATGAGATAATGGAAAAATAGATCTGCAGTTTTAGTGTGCAACGAAGATACCAACGATTCCAAGCAAATGTCCCGTGATGTTACAACTTCGAGAAAGTGACAGTGAAAACCATACAATATTTCCATATGACTATCATTCGAACGATAAAAACAAGGCTGGACATGTTAAAGTGAAGGCAGACGGTAGGTAGACTAAGGACATAATGTAAGAAAATACCAAGACAAGATCTAACAAGATCTGATCTGGGTGGAACCCATAGATCACAAAAAAGCATTGCCAGCAAGATAAACCGTGCGTCTGTGAATTTTCCATGCAATTCACATAAACGTAAACGTGAATCTGCCTGCCGTGATTTCGTTGGGGTGGCTGGTGTTTGTCTGCATGTTGTCTCCAGATGAATGAGGGTCAAATTACGTAGTGACAATGGTGCAATGCAACATCAAGTCGGATATTTAGTGAAGAATGTGAGTGATAAGGGGGCGAACCGAAAAAGCGCTCCAGGACTGGTAAAATCGGAAAGAAAAACATCTCGGTGATACACCAGTCCGCGGCATCGCGCAGTCAACTTCAGCTGATGGTCCACTTAATTTGGTGTCATGGCTAGGCACCGATTCGTATCAAAAGAAAAGTAGATTTATCGTGGACCATTCAAACGCACTGTCAACATCTTCTTGGAGCAATTCACTGTCTCCT